TGTGTGTGTGTGTGTGTGTGTGTGTGTGTGTGTGTGTGTGTGTGTGTAGGAAGAGTTGGTTTCAGTACCTCGCAGCGCGGTTCTCACTGCGCAAACAGCATGCAATGCGGGGCATTCATCTCTGAAAGCCCGACTGCTTGTTAATGGAGACGGCTTCCATTGAAGCCCGGGATAGGCGGGTTACATGAATCTGGCGCATCCAGCAGCACAGGAAATAACTCCCGCGGCGAGTGAGGTTGCATAACTATAGCGCAGGAGAGATGCCTGTGTGGCACGAACTTCGCCGAACGGAGGCGGAACGATTGTTGGATAGGCAACTGTCTCGTTTGCATTGTCAGAGGACAGTGTGTGCAGTCATCCCAAAAGGTCTCTCTCTCTCTCTCTCTCTTTTTTTTTTTTTTTTTTTTGCACGGGGACCTTCTAAGGTTGAGGCGGGGAGCCTGGGATCTTTGTGGCCGAAGGGCTAGGAACTCCTAGCCCTATAAATTCTCTTATCTCTTCTCCATCTACGAAGTCAGCACATATATACAAGATGGCCCAAACGCGCCCAAGTTCCTGTGGCTTCTCCCCAGGCGGTTCTGCGACAGGCTCTTCACTTTGTTCTCAAGTTTACTTGACCTCTAGGGAAGAAAGCTTGCTGCTCCGGCCACCTTGAGGGAGAGAACGAATCCTGGGGAAGAAGAAATTGAGAGGGTCTCCTAAGGAAACCGACACTCTTCTGCCAAGGGTTTCCAGGAAGCCTCAGAATTGCTATTCTCATTCGCAGAGTGCACACTGGTGTGTCAACGGTATCGTGCATTAGGAGGGCCTGTTTGAGGAAGGGATGAGAACACCAACCCAGCCAGCCATGCACCGAAAAACCCATATGGTGGTTCACTGAGGTTTCTTTATATAACTGCTTTCCGACCACGTCTGCAGGCAGGAGTGTTCATTTTCAGAGCAAGTGAGGATGGAAAAAGAGGAGTGAGTGGAGCCCGGGGTGAGACCTCTACCCCTACCGTTCTGAACTTGATCTCCTGATGTGGAGAACCCGAAACCCAGAGTGTGGGCGGCTAGCCTGCTCTTTAAGCACTACCACTGACTGGCATTGTCCGCTCACGTTTCAATCCGGGCCTGTAATTCCAGCTGTCCTGGGTGCTGAGGCGGGATTGCCAGTTCAAGGCCAGCCTGGTTAACCTAGCAAGACCTTGCCTCAAAATAAAAAGATGAAAATTGGAAAGGGGCCAAAGATCTAGCTTTGCAGTGGAATGCCTGGGGAGTATCCATGAGGCCCTGGGCTAAATCCGAAATACTGAGGTGGGAGGGGAGAGCTTGAATCAAGTCTAATCACTCGTGGACAGTTGTTAAGCAAGTCACTTAAACTCTGCCTAGGTTTATGTGGCTAATAGCACCTATTTCACGGAGCTTTCATATGGATTAATGGGATAGGAACACACATAAAGCACTTAGGACAGATTCAGTGCTGATGGTGTGCCCAGTTCTCCCTGTAATTTTGTAAAGCAGAAGTTATAAAGCCCCTGTCAAAGTGATGGCATGTGAAGGTTAATTGTAAAGCACTCAGCATTGTTCAGTTGTTCAACAAATAGCCATCTGTCATCTTCTATGTACCCCAGCAGACACATGACCTGGCCCTTGGTAAGCCATCCACAGTGATAAACATCATAGTTATGATTAAGGACAAAGTTGGTCGTTTGCAAAGGCAGCCTTCTCTTTTGAGGAAGCACAGCTGTCTGAGGCTCCTGAGCAGCACAGAAATCATCAGGCTATGCTTTTGGGGAAGACGAAAAAACTGTCTTTTTTTATTATATGCCAAGCAATGTGCTGTCCACTCACAGAGAGAGAGCTACTCAAACTATGGTTGACAGCCTAAATTAATGCCCTCGCTTATTCTGTGCCCTATGAACAAGACACTGTAGGTCAACAAGCCTTCAGCTCCTTTTAGTTAGGGTCCTTCTGTGTCCATTTTAAGAAAACATTTGTAGTTCCCACCACTTAACCTGTAGTTGATGATCATGCTTACTTTTAATATATAACATATATTAAAATATTTTTTAACTGTGGAACAGAAATTTTAACTATGGAAAAGAAATAGTCTTAAGAGGATGCTCAGATCCCAGTGTCTGGGCCTCTTGAAGTATAAGAGAAATGGTCAGGGCCCTAGAGGTGGCTCTGATGTGGGATTTGTTCCGGAGAGGCTGGAAGGGACAGGTGGCAAGTCCCAGTGATGAGGACTCTGCTGTTACAGGCTCTTAAGGCTTCAGCCAGGATCCCTTGCCCCAGGACACGGATGCCCCATGCAGAGTTTGCTGCTGAGTGGGGCTGCGAGTAGGTTCACCAGCCTTGGACCCTGCTCTTACCCCTGGTGGGAGACGTGGGTAAGCTGGCAGAACTCTTTCAGTGGGAGTCCGATGCGGAGCCTGGTCTTCGAGCCTGCCAAAGGAATGAGCAGGCCTTCAAGAGGAGCCTCATCTGCCTGGTAGCATTTGCAGCCCATTGTCATGTGGCTTTATGCCAAGCAGTAGTCTCCAAAAATGAACACCAGTTGACAACATTATCCGGTCCGTCTATCCCAAGTTTCTGTCTGAAGATCCACGGGCTTGCCCCATGGGATCATTTTTGAAGACCAGGTTGTGGGGCCAGCAGACCCTGCCCCTGAGTTAAACTGCCCCTGACAGTTACTTCAAAATAAGAGACCGAAGAGATTGACCATGCAAGATTGACTACACATATTTTCTTCACTGTTTTTATATTGAGGTGTTTCCCCCTCATCTTCTGTGAGTTCTTTTTTTTTTTTTTTTTTTTTTACACATCTTTACCAAGTGCTAAGGATCAAACCCGGACTCTATCCCCAGGCCTGTGAGTGGTGAGGCCCTAACCTGGAGACTCTGATCAGCACATTTGTAATTATGGCCAACAACTCCCTTTCTCCAGAAGTACTCCAGGCGTGTGGCTTGCTTCAGTCCTTCGCAGCCTTCCTCCCCTTTCTTTGTATCCTGTCTTCTCATACATCCCTAACTAAAACCACTGCTCTAGCCAGCACCAAAAGAACAGCCTCCTGAGTTCATTGAGAAGCTAAAGACGTCAAAGGTGCACCTAAGTTCCAGCTCTGTGCAGTTGCTACTAGTCAAGGAGCCTAAGGTCAAGTTGAGGTTCTACAAGGGAAGGGAAGTTTGTATTTGCTTGGTTTTTTGTTGTTGATGTTTTGTTTTGTTTTGTTTATCCTCAGTGGGTAGGGCCGAGGAAGGAAGATGGCCACAGTTGCTGGGTCCCACAGGTGGCTAGCTCTCTGTACTTTGTCCTCAGCTTCTTAAAGTTAGCCACAGCCACTTAGCACCAACCACTTAAAGGGTAGTGCAGTGGTCCTCAACCTGCATATAAGATATTTACATAGCAGTGGCAAAGTTACAGGTATCAGATACTCTAACAGTAGCAAAATTAGAGTTATGAAGGAGCAACAAAATTTTA